CCAAGCCTTGTAGACCAATTGTTCTGGTTTAGCTTTGCCGGGCAGATGTTTGGGAGATGATTATATTTCTTGGCATGATTGATGAGGTCGATCGCATGATCACGATCGAAGATGGATGGGACCGAAGCCTCCAAGGGGGAGATGAAGATGCCGCGTGAACAGCCTGCACAGAGTCGTGCATCCCATCTTGACGAGTAGTCGTAATTGAGCGTATGACTTTTAAGCACGGGTGAGTTCGATGGCTGGTAGTTCTCCTGACTCTGTGCTGATGATTGTAGGTCGAAGATGGAGGCTGGGATGGGATTGAATCGTTGGATCTGATGGACTGATGACTTGAAGAGTTGGAAGAAATGGTGAGGGGATGATGAGTGTTGTTTGTCCTGATTTTCTTGTTGTTGTTGTTGTTGTTGTTCATGTTGGTTGCATTGTGAGCTGAGTGGTCGAGGTGGAGTTTGAGAGTCGATGAGTTCGATGATCAGCCATCTCCAAGTGATCGGACAGAAGAATGAGCTTGGATGTGGTTTTGATAGGACGAGTTCATGGATCGATAGTGGTGGATACTTTGGGTTGTTGTTGTTAGTCTGTTGGTTGTTGTTAGTGATCTGATTCCAGATGGTTGAGTTCTTGTTGAATTCCAAGTCCCAGATTGGGTGTGGCCATAGTTCAGATTGGTCCTGATGGTCGAATGTTTCTGAGAGTAGTTTGAGTGTGGTGAATGCGGGTGGGAATGGGTTGAGATTACTGAGATCGATCGAGGCAGTCGGAGTAGTTTCCATTCCTTCTTCTTCTGTTCTCTGTCCTTGGTTTGGTTTGGTTGGTTGTTGGTTGTTGTTGTTGTTGGTTTCTGGTTGAAGGCAGTCAGTCCCTTGTTGGCTTGCTGTGTTCAAGAAGTGGGGAACTTGTTCTGACTAAAACTGACTATGGCCTTATGGTATGTAATAGACACATGGCATTGGCAGCTATCAGCTGGTTTCAGGCATGGGGTAAGATGACCCCCTGCTGCGAGACTGGATGCTGCGGGGAAACATTGATCGAAGAACAGACGATGACGAAAGCATACAGCACACCAACAACTTAACCCAACACAACAACACCATGTCACTCAACGGATTCCTACAGGAGCTCTCGACAAACGAACATCGACTAGCCGAACGAGAATGCGAGGAGGGCCAGAAGGAGTATGCGCTACACCACCAAGATCCAGGACGAACACCCGTACCAAGGTTCGATCTACCTGGAGTCAAAGACGTCAGCTTTATACATCTCTAAAATACCTCTAGAACCATTTGTTTACCAGATCCATTCCCTTTTTTTTTCAGCCCGTATCATTCTTAAGAACTCACACCGACGATAGATCGGCGGATGCCAAGATCAAGATCAAACATGGCACCACCACTCTCGCCTTCAGATTCCAACACGGGATCATCGTCGCCGTCGATTCGCGGGCGACTGCTGGAAGCTATATCGCCAGTGGCACCGTCAAAAAGGGTCAGTCCTATCCATTGATTTCTTATCTCAAGCTCCACTCTAACCCTCTTGTTTCTCGGTTGGTTACATGGATATATGTATATATAGTCATCGAGATCAATCCTTTTCTCTTGGGTACTATGGCTGGAGGTGCCGCCGATTGTCAATACTGGGAAGTGCGTTAAATCGTCTAATCTTAATCTGGGGGCTTCCTCCTCTGTTATGATCTATTTAATCGCCAACTAAACTCTATCAATAACCGAATCCAAACCCAGACTTATCTAGGCATCCAATGTCGACTACACGAGCTCCGAAACAAGAGTCGGATCTCAGTAGCGGCGGCCTCGAAGTACCTCTCGAACCTAGTGTACAGCTACAAGGGCATGGGCTTATCGATGGGCACGATGATCTGTGGCTGGGACGGGGCAGGCCCGGGCTTATATTACGTCGACTCGGACGGCACTCGGCTCAAGGGAGACGTCTTCTCCGTCGGCTCCGGCTCCACCTTCGCCTATGGCGTCCTCGACCAAGGATATCATTGGGATCTCTCCGTAGACGATGCGCTCGAACTCGGCAGACGGAGTATCTATGCCGCTGGTCATCGCGACGCGTTCTCTGGCAATACCCTGAACCTCTATCATGTCAAGGAAGATGGATGGCATTTCATTAATAACTATGACGTCAGTCCCCCTCCTCTCTCTCTCTCTCTTCTTTTCTTGCTCAAATCATCTTGTGACACTCTGTTTCTTCACCCCCATAGTTCAATAAACTCCACTATGATATGGCTTATGGTTACGAAGAAAGGTTGAAGAAAGATGCCGAGGTGGTAGTCTGAGTCGACTGATGATGGGAAACAAAAACAAAACAAAACTGAGGCAAGGGAGAAATCTTGATCGTCATTGTTAGTCTGCTCAAAGAGACGTCTTGGCACTCGATTTGTACATGACCTCCATCTCAAGCTCTCGGAACCCGTTTTCGTTGATTTTTACTTTAATTGTCTCGTCTTTTTATTTTGAAGAAGATGAAGAAATGTATTCCAATAGATCAAATCAACCCTGTGTGGATCGAAGTGGATAGAAGAGTATATCCTATAGCTAGCATATTGAGCCCCCCGTTCTTGGGGGCTCATCAAGCTAACAATGTTGTTGAAGAACACTCCTACTGCACTACCGGTGGCCACTCAAATAGTGTACAAGACCTACTGAAGCACATGTTTAGGGTAGTCTTACATTGTAGCTGCTTGAAATATATTAACAATTTCAAGTGTCAAGAAAATCCAAATTTCAGGTAGTTTGACCCACCTTGAGATGCACTCAGAACCACTAAGAACTGGTGTGATATATCAGCAATAGGCTGCTATACTACACTATGCTAAATGACCCACTAATGTTAGCGTAGTGGCCCTCAAAACAGCCTGCCAACACTGTAGTGTTAGTGTGCTGTTAGTGTTAGTCCCACTGCCCTGTGTTACGCTGCACTATGTATGGTGCTTTTAGTGGCAAAAATGGTCAAAAAACCACTAAAATGCGCTGGAGTGCAGCATAGTGTGCCCTTTTTTATGGCCTGCATGTGTAGCATTAGTGCAGTTGTGGTGAAATTCTGCTACACTAGGCTAAATGTTAGCATAATTCTGCTATTTTAACACTACAGTTAGTGTAACTGGCCCATTGTTGGATATATGTAGTATTGTAGCCATTTATGTTTCTTATTTTCCTCTGTGGCTGTTAGTTAAGAGTATGAGAGGGTTTTTGGATAAGCTGGGTTGAGACTGAGTGTAGTGTGATTGATTCAAAATTCAGTGGCTGTTTGGGGTCTCATATTATGCTATTGCTGCTCAGACTCAGAGTTTATTCAACCTACTTTTGGTGCAGCAATACACCCTCCACATCATGTTTGTGTTGAGACTGGTAGACTTCCTGTTGGATCTGGGGCCCTCTCCGTTTTTGATAATTAGACATGAAAAGCCTGGAATTTTGGAGGGAAATCTGGCTTTTGAGGCTCTAAATTGAAACTGCAGGGCCCCACAGATTTTGATAGACAGTCCTCTACTATTTACACGCCTTTCTGAAATTAAATGTATGGAGTACATACCCACTCCACCTAGAATGTTTTGCCTAGTCTTTCAATTGGATTTGTGACAGACCTCATAGGGTGTATATTATTAGTCAAACTATGTAGAGAATTTTACCTCTCCATTCATTAAATCTAGACCAGAGCTTTTCATTAGGGGGTTTTAAAATTGCCCCAGGAGGTTGTGCAGGTTCAAACCCCCATGAAAAATACACAACCTGGACTTCTTCCTGTTGGCCTGTGCTCCCTCTCCTTCTTGCCCTCCAGGAGGGGCTGTTTCAGTGCAGGAAATCAGGAGAATCCTTGTCCAAAACTCACATGTTGATGCAAAGAGTATGATCCCCCACCCCCCCAGTTCTTTCCCTCGTCACTCTTTTTCCAAACAGATATGAACCCAAGCCTCTCCTTTGCATGCAGAAACCTGTATAGCTCACCACTTTGTACACTACATACATATCATCAGTTTTACACATCATGCTGTCCTTTGATCACAAAATCATCATTGCTCAGATTCATGTCATTCAATCTCCTGAGCTTGTTTTATCACGACACTTTTCTATGACTTGGGTGATTGATTTAATTGTATGCAAGTAATCTTTTGAACAAACAGCTTTTCATTCTACAAGTCAGAAGACCTCAAGAAATCAAGTTGAGCTGGAGGACTTGAAGTTGAGTTGTTTTTAGCTCTGGACCCTGTTCCCTGTGTCTCCAGGTATTCCCAATGGCTACACCGCTGGTATAGGTCTCTGGGAAATCTCCTGAGGTTCCCAAGCACCAGCAGGTATTCCAGGAACAGTCCACAGGAGGCCTTGGAGATCCCAGAGGGTATGCCAGGTATCTTGGGGAAGGAAAGCCCTTGTTAAATGTTGGCAATGGCACATTAATTCATTGCAATGTAATTGCATTGTATAATGGAGATCAATTGTGGTGCAGTTGAAAAAATAAATCAAGAAAAAGAAAAAAAAAACCCTTGTAGAGATCGTTTGTTCGGACCTAGGTACCTGTTTATACCTAGGTACCTGTTCATTTTTTCAAGAAAATAGATACCATGTACCACACCAGACACCTCCTGGGGGGTACCCAAGGTACCCGTTGCAGGTACCTCAGGTACCCCTCCTCTCTTTTTCACCTAGTTTCACTCCCAGAGTCCCAAGCCACCTTATTATTATTATTATTATTTTTTCATTTTTTAATATCTGTTGTAATATATCTACATCTAATTGGAACAATCTTACTCTTCTATTTTTTCATATTTATTGTAAAACATCAGTCCCAAGTCACTTTTTTCATTTGTTCATATTTAATAATTTATTGAAAAGTTTAAACTATCTACAACTTATAACTAATTGGAAGAATCCTCATTGTCATCCAAAACCATCACCTTCCTTTTTGATTTTTTGTTAGACTTCTTGTTATCCTTGAGTCCCTGTTTCCATGCAACCAAGGTACCTTCTTGGATCTTGGAGTTCTTGGAGTAGAAGGCCACCATCATTCTGATTTTTGGTAGGGAAGTGAGGGGGTACCTGTAGAGGTACCTAGGTACCTGTTCAATTTTTCACAAAAATAGGTACCAAGTACCGCACCTGGCACCTCCTGGCGGGTGCGGGGCGGGTGCGAGGGGTACCCCCCAGGAGGTACCAGGTACCTGCAAAAAGTACGGACAAACGATCTCTAAACCCTTGCAGGGTCAAATGCTGCTGTTTTTGGAGTTGCCATTGGAATCAGAGTCCTCATTGCTGTTTTTCCATCATTATCTTTATTGGCTTTACAGTTCTTGACAGTTGAAGTATCCATCATCTCTTCAAATTTCTGAAACCATGCTTTAACACAAAGAAGGTGCTTGATTGAAGAGCAACTGAGAGTGTGTTTCTGTGAGCTGATACTAGTTTTTGATTGGGAGAAGACCTGTTCCAAAGGTGCACTTGTGGCTGGGTTGCCAAGGAAACAACTCGCCCTAGGGACTCAAGTACATAATGTGTATACCTGTGTCAAAAAACAGCCCCTTGGGAAAATAAATCCTGTGACCCATTCCCTATACCAACAGTGCAACAGATACAAGACATGTATTGGTATCAGATTGTGCTGTCTTGATTTTGAGCCTGATACCGGTATCAGTATTTCTTTGGTTGGTGAGAAAATCCATTGTCTTGGATTCAGATTTACAAATCCACTCGCGCTGAGCTCGCCATCTGGTACAGGCAAGTTGCGCCACCCCCATGGGGGGGCGTAGCATCCCGCCTGTGTGGGAAGAAGCAGAAGGGGGTTAATGTTGCCCCCCAGCCCTGACCAGGTGTGTAGAGTGTCAGTGAGAGTGGTTCTCACCCTTGTGGGGAGTATTGTGGGGTTCAGGCACCAAGCCCCTCCAAGTACCAGACTTAGACTTTCACAGGTGGGAGGGTGGATTTTAAAGGAAAAGAATGGAGGCTTGCGCGTATCGTGACGCTGGGAAAAGCCTTGTGAGAGGGAAGGAGGAAGAGTGATGATGTGAGGGGAAGAGTGACCGATGCTAGAGGTATCTAGAAGTAGCATCTGTCAAGTGGCTGGTGAGCGGCACAGGCCCCTCACATCGTCCTCTCCCTCATCCTTCTCTTGTGTTCCCAGACCAGTCCGCTAGGCGTCCGTGGACTGGGTTGGCCTCCCCTGCAAGTCCGCCAACTGCAATGAAAAAAAAAAATTGTCTTTGTTTTTTTTCTCTTCAATACAGCCAAATATCTTGTGTATCAAAGATGTTTTTGGTGGGATCAGTCATCTGAGACAATACAGAATACTTGTCTCACTTTCCAAAGACAATACGTGTGTATTGTCTCAGGAAAGTGAGACAACACAAATACAGTATTTTTGGGTATTCAGATTCTGAGACAATACAAATAAACACCTGATACTGTCTTGTCTTGTCTCTGTTGCACCGTTGCCTATACCCAAGGGAAGGGTGTGGGTGTCCTATTTTGCCTTCCCAACACAATGGTATTCCCTCAGGTCAGGGTGCCAGGTACCCCACAGGAAGTGCTAGTTTTCACATCTGAGTGTAGTTCTGCTGTCTCTACTTGAAGCTAGTTCATTTTTGTCCAAGTGTGCAAATCCAAGTGAACTGTGTTGATTGGTTCACTATGAATACATGGGAAAAGCCTATCAATTCAAAAGTCAATGGCTGTCTATTGGAATATTATGCACATTGGTAAAAACAGATTGGTTGAAATTGAATCAAGGCACCAAGATATATTGTAGCCCCTCAATTGCATTTATTGATGAAGTACTGAGAGAAGTTGCATTCACATCCAGCAACTGAAAGATGCACATTATTAACTAAGGCAGATTGTGCTGTTGTTTCAAGAAGACAACTTGACCATCAACTTTGTGGGTTGACCTCAAGAAGAGGAGGTGGTTTGGTCAGTCTCCTCCCCCTACCCCCCAAAGGTAACAAACAAAATGGATGGAACTCTCATCTTCCAGGCTGTGGACTTTCCAGGGAAATTGTGTGACACCTTGGGGCATTCAAACCTGAACTTCCAGGAGGGGGTTTTGACCGGGGAATTTTCCTGGAAATCAGGCCCTGCGCAACCTCCTGGAGAGCCTGGTTTCAATTTTGAAACCCCCTACTGTGTCAAAATTAAACTCATTAAGTACACCTACATAAACATTTTAACTACATTTTTTTTTTTGGATTTGGACTAGCTTATTGAAACAACAAATCAATCTATCATGGAGGCAGCGTGTTTACAAAAGTTTTGATACGCTATGAGGAACTGAGTATCGTAAGTGAGAAACCAAGATTTGTAATAATTCTGGACTGGAAAGCCGTCAGTATCCACAATCAAAGGGATCACGTGAATGAGGATGAGAAATGAAGTAGATTGAAACAAAGTTGAGAGATACTTGGCTTCTTTAATGACTTCATTAATCGAAAGCCTGTCCATCTCCTGCTCCTTATCTAATCTTGACAAAAGCGATAGGTGTGCACGATAAATTCTATCTGGTAGATCGTGTAATTTTTTGAGTTGATGCGAACACATCTCAGTGAATGGTCGGAGTGGTTTTTGGTTTAATCCCCGGTTTGAGAGTTTGTTAAGATACAATCTTGATAGCTTGAAGATTGTTAGGGCCGATTGAGCAAGTTGAGAGCTTCGTTGAATATATGGATTTTTGGTGATTGAGTTGGAGCTATGGGAGAGAGTCGTAAGGATACAGGACAGAGTGAGGCGGGATTGAAACCTTTTGGGACCCCAATCGTGTATGATGATATCCCATTCGGATCCTTTTAACCAAAAGCTTGTTGACTCAATCCCAGTTTCGACACGAGTGGCCCAGTAGCGCTTATCAGTTCTAGGGGAAGGTTTCACTCCAGTCCTTTCTTCCGTTGATAGTCCTAGCTCAATAATCACTTTCGAGATCCAATCAAAAAAATATCGAACAGAGCGTAGTAAATCTTCTCTGAAGGATTCATCCAGGCCGGAGAGTCTATAAGCTTTGAGTCCTTTGAGGTCTTGGTCATTCACTTGTTTGGATGAAGGGATTTCTCCTGGTGAGATCGTCTCAACCATATATTTAACTTTCTCCAATGTATCATGAACCTGAGACTGGATCTCCAAGATGAGCTTAAATTGTGACAAAACCGGTTCACGTTGGAAATCGATCGAGTCTAGTGCTTGGAAATCTAGTGCGTGTGAGATGGCAATGAGTTGCTGTCGTAGGGAAGGTAAAAGGCTAGAGTGTAAATGAGTGATAGCCGCATTTCTCGCGCTCAGTGGGTCGAGAGAACAGGAGGCCGTGTCTCGGATGATGGAGTCAAGCTCGGAGCTCTTGCTGGTACAGTCACTGTATGGGTGGCCGCATGCTTCCTTGAGAGCTTTGAAGCCTTTGACGACCAAATCTACATCAACAAGTCTGTTGTCTCAGTCAATCGTCTCTTTCGAAGTCCCGCGATTGAAGAAATTGATGAAGCCAAGACTGAACACATACCTCCTTGTTGCTGAAGCGTTACTTTCGATGTTTCTGATCCACACATCGTTCCTCGTGTCGTCGTGTCAGTGTCGGTCTTTTCCCGAATTTTCACGCTTGAATCCGCTCGGTGTCGCAGGGCAGGGCACAGGCGATATGCGAACGGTGAAGATGAGTTTACATCTGCTTTTGAAGGTAGAATGATAATTCAATGATCAAAGCAGAAACAGGGGCAAGGTTCTTAATAGTACAAACTCGTTCATGAACTTGACAGTGTGAAGGTGTGAAGTCGTTAAGATGACGGTATGACCTGATGATACATACCTCCGGGACGGTCTGGGGAGAGCCAATATCCGACCCCGAGGCCATACATGGCTCGCGCTTCGGATCGGGTACTCCTGCTGATCTCGGGTCACCCTCCCCGGCCCCGGTTTGACATGAAGAAATTACCAATTCCCCGCTGAACTGATTGAGTGAATGACATCATTGCTGTTGACCATGACCACTTCCACTTTACCATCCTACCTCTTCAACTCTCAACCGCAAGCTCATCGACCAGCAATACTCCTACCACCTTCAGCACTACTAGCATCCGAACTACCACTCTCGATCTGTTATAGGGAACTCAAGGATTACACTACCCGTCTGGCTACTCAACTCGAATCCTTCGGTCCGCCTCAAATCACCGTCAGTCTCAGTCTTATCAACTCGCTCGAATTCGTCACTTCCTTCCTTGCTTTGGCCCAGAACTCTTTCATCGGTTAGCTTAATTTGTTTCGAATAATTCTGTGGCAACACTTCTGAAATGATCTCTCTTCTATTATCTTTTCTAGCCGCTCCACTTAATCCGGGATATACTCAAGATGAAGCGGGTGAGTCAATGATTCTTCATACAAATAAAATCGGATGATTGACCACTGAACGGCTTCCTTCTCAAATTTTGACACACAAACAAACAGAATTCTATTTGTCGTGAGCATTTGACAGGTCCTCCTCAGTTCTGGTAATTGATTCGGGGCTAATCGAGCTAATGGCACATGATGATGACGACCAGGGACTCGAATTCGAAGCTTCTACTAGTACACAAAGGCGACTTGAGCTCGACGGCGACGGCTTCAGGCGCTGTCTTGGCAGCCCGCAAACTCGACATTCCGATTGCTGAAGTCTACTTTAACTCGACAACTGGCTCGATAGAATTCAGTGGCGGTTCTCCACACCTTACCAGATTATCAAAAAGAAAGCAAACCCGTGCGCCGTACGAAAATGATGTGCTCTTGCTTCTCCATACCAGTGGTACAACTGGAAGACCTAAAGGTTGGTCTTGATCAGTCACCATTCCCGTAATCACACCCTTCCAACAATCTGAACGGGTCCCCCCAATTCCCCAAGCCCCTCAAATAATAATCCTTTGGCTTGAATTCTCATTCCGTAAACAGCCGTCCCGTTAACTCACAAGAACATGATCGCGACAACACGCAAGTACGTTTATGGTGATCCAAGCCATCAAGAAAATGCGCTGATATATTCAACTCACTTGTGCAGTATTCAAAAAACCTACGACCTTTCATCCAAAGATAGATCTTTCTTGGTCATGCCTCTTTTTCATGTTCAGTATGTCATCTGATTTTTATATTCTGGCTGGTTACATCTACTGATGGTCGTTTGGTCATAATATAGCGGCTTACTGGCCGGGCTGCTGTCTCCCCTTGCTGCAAGTGGCTCATGTGTCATACCACCCCGCTTTGCTGCCCGGACATTTTGGTCTGAGTTTGTGCTCAGCAAAGCTAACGTAAGCATTGATCCTCAAAACCATCCAAGTAATCTGATCGATCTATACTTATTTTACTGATTAATTTATTCCGTTGATTGTCCTTCAGTGGTACACAGCGGTTGTGAGTGGTTTAGAAATTCTTGTCGCACATGATTGAAGTCTCGTTCGCTGAAATATCACGATCCATACTTTAACAGCCCACTATCCATCAAGTCCTACTGCAAATCCCGCCTCCTTTACCACTACCTAAAATCAGGTTCATTCGGTCTTGCTCATCTGCTCTCAGTCCTACAACTCATGCACAGCTTGAGCGTACCTTTCAAGCGCCTGTTCTTGAAGCCTATGCAGTAAATCCACTCATCATCATCATCCGACAAAACAAATCCATTGATTTCTGATGTTTTCATTATTATTTATTATTCAGATGACCGAAGCTACTCACCAAATGACATCCAATCCACTTCCTCCAGCCATCGTTGAGCATTTCTGTTAATTCCCCATTTCAATAGTGACGAAGGGAATTCTGATCTAGCCCCACCCTGTTGGGTCTCTATTTGTTGGATACAGAGAAAGCCTGGCTCAGTTGGAAAGCCGGTGGGAGTAGAAATGAAAATCTTGGATTTTAATAAAGAAGAAGAAGTGGAAGAGGGTGAAGTTTGCATTCGAGGACCGAATGTGACGGCAGGCTATCTCAACAATGTGTCAGCAAACAAGAGTTCATTTACGGTCCCTGGGGGATACTTTAGGACTGGAGATCGAGGCAAAATTGACGCTGATGGGTTGTATGTGATGTTTCCTTTGTCGTGCTTGAAAAGAGATTATTCTTTTCTAAGGTTGGATCAATTTGCCTTATGTTTAGTTTGACGCTAACTGGTCGGATTAAGGAACTGATCAATCGAGGTGGTGAAAAGATCTCACCGGTCGAACTGGATGGAGCTTTATTATCGATCGAAGGCGTTACAGAAGCTGTTGCCTTTGGGGTTCCTGATCGCAAGGTGTGATCCATCTTACTTGCTTTTGACGTTTCTCCTATACTCGTGACGAGTAGCTTTCTAAACTTGCTTTCCAAACGCTACAGTATGGTGAAGTCCCATGGGCAGCTGTAGTCCTACGAAAATCATCCTCTAAACGAGCCCCTTCTGAGTCGGAAATCCGGAATGAGTTGTCTAAAAAACTCGGGAAGGTTTGCGTTCTTCTTCTTATTATTTTTAACTGCTATGCAGCCAATAAGAACTATCCTTCCTTTTGCGTTGACTGATTTCTTGTTGTTGTACGGCGTTTTAATCATCTAGTTTAAAATCCCGGAAAGATTTGATGTCGATCAGATTCCAAAAACTGCCACTGGAAAAGTGAGTATCTTTTTTCAAAAACGACGGTGTTCTTTCCCAATTTTAAATTAACATTTGCCGAGTGAGATGACACTGATTCTATAATTATGTTTGACCATACGTAGGTCCAACGAAGGAAAGTCTCTGAAATCTTTAGAAAGAGTCACCCTGATAACAATGCCAAAGCTCGACTATAGGCAACCCCCATGCCGTTTTCCGACGTGTGTTGAAAATGCGTGTCGAGTCATCATCTCTTACTTTTTTCACTTTGGAAGTTGGTTACAGCCAACATGAATTCTGACTTGCAATGTTTCTGATCCAAAAAGAAGTGTAGATATCTCTGCTTATGTATTGTTTCTTTCAATCTCTTCCCCCGAACTTTTGGGTATTTGCTTCAGACTCACTCCCTTCCCCATCAAAGAAACATGGTCTGTTAAAGGGCCATGGGGGGATAAGACCTAAAGGTTACATTGTGAATCTTGCAATGTGATATTATTATTATTATTATTATTATTATTATTATTATTATTATTATTATTATTATTATTATTATTATTATTATTATTATTATTATTATTATTTATTATTCATAAAACAGTTGGGAGATTAGACAGAACATGTATCTTGGTTTTGCAATAGGGTGCAACTCAAAAACCACAGATTTCATAGAAACTTGATTTTTGTCACCATTGATTAGGATTTGAACTTTTGATTACAGATGGAGCTAGTCTAGACAGCAGATGCACAGTGACTGGCCTGTAAAATTCTGGAACAGGTCCTGATTGTCATGAATGAGTTGTTCCAAGAGTGCATGGTATTTTTTGTGAGGGCAAGGGGTGGGGGGTATCAGTGGTGGCACGGGAGGAAGTGAGGCTTGCTTGGAATAGAGAGATGGACATGGAAAGCCTGTTTGTGTGTTGAATGAAGGAGTCCTATAATTGTGATTAGAATTGTGATTAGCTTCACCAACATATGATCTCTCAAATCTATATTATCAAGTCAATCCAACAACAAACTCTTCTGAGTTGGAGATAACACTTGTTTCACTGGTGATATGTACACTCACTCATCATTGCTTAGCACCATCTAGTTGCACTCCTTTCTGTTTACATCCACCTCTAAAAAAAGGGATAGACCAACACAACAGCCACACATTCTATCTCTCTCTCTCAATCCTCCTTCTTGGTCAACACTGCTTCACTCCCTTCTCCCACTCTAAACTCTTTAAACTGAGCATTCTCCAATAAAAAATAAAATCTAATTGCAGAGAAGAAAGAAAAAATAAGGAAAGAAAGAAAGAAAGGAGAAACCAAAGCCAAGAAAAAAAAGAAGAGAAGAGAAGAGAAGAGGTAATAAGAATTAGAATGGATGTGGGGTATGTGTATGTATGTGTATGAGTAACTGGCTGATCAGTTGTCTTCTTTTGCTTCCACTGAAACAAAAAAAAAAGATAAAGATGATGATGATGATGAAGGAAACAAAGAGGTAAGAGTGAAGACAAGAATGAATGAATGCATCAACAACTATAGAGGTAAAAAATGTGGAAATAAGTGTGTGTTTTTGCCTGTGTGTTAGCTTTTCCAGGATATATATATAGAGAGAAAATAAAATGAAGTAGGGCTTGGGGAGATTAAGAATGATGGATCCAGATCTTATAGCCAAAAATGAATGCTTCAAAAACATGTGAATCCTAGGTTTCCTTTGGCCTTCCTTTTGGTGTCTATATCACCTTTGATGGAGCCAAAAGCGAAAAACAAAAAAAACGCAAGATGTGGACAAGAAAGAGAAACGAAATCTAATCCGGATGGTGCGGGGCGGTAAAGGGGGGGGGGGAAGACTGAGGGATGTGGATTGATGGTTAGAAAGGTCAAGAGGACAGGAGATGACCACATTTCAAATGGATTCTAGTTCATGAAAAAAATGGTTCAAGGTTTGGAGGTGATGTCAGTTTAATGATTTCCTCCTCAAAAAACACAAAAATGGGAAACAGAGAGAGACGGAAAGGAGAATAAGACGAACTGCGTTTGGCATCAAAAGAGATTCCTCCAGGGCCTTGGTTGATCAATAAGATCATCCCTCCCACAACAGAGAGAGCTTGAAAGAAATCAAAGCTTCGGGGGAAAAAAAAACACAAGATGGTTAACCATTGAGGAAAAACGAGATTATAGGGGAGGAAGGGAGGAAGAAGGATTTACCGACGGAAGTCTCTTTCGGGATGATCCTTAGGTTTGGACCACCAATCGTTACTAAGGACGTTAACGACGGAGGTAAGGATGACGAGGAAGGTAGCGGACCAAGCGGCCTTGAAGCCGACGGCGACGAGGAGACAAGCCAATACGGCGAGGGCGGCGGCAGCGAGATGGAGGAAGGAGAAGGAGTCGAAGGCGAGCTCGAGGTAGGCGGCGAGGGCATGGCCGACGAAGAAGACCACCAACAAGATCCGGCCGCTCAGCTGCAGATACGTCCGACGCTTCCGCGCCACATCTTCGCTGATGTCCGGTAAGCCCGCCATTCCTCGCACACTCCCCCCAACACTCTTGCTCACTATACTGTCCGAGATCGCTAGCATTAAGGCCCCCATGATCGACAGGTTTAGACACACAAACGTCCCGTCCGTAAGTAGATCATACACCCAGCCTTGCGCTACTATCACCCCCACTAATCCTAGCACAGAGAATAACGCCCATTTCTTGAAGATGATCAAGATCGAACATACCACCATTAACTAGTACGCCACACACACACACACACCGATCAAAAAGTATGTTATTTTTGTTTGTTTGTTATCCTCTTTTATCATCTGACTATCTTTAGGTCTACTTACGATCACATTGGCGGCCAAGAATCCGACGACGAACCAATCATGATATTCCTGATCATCCTATCGAACATACGACGGGCGACAGGAAGAAAAAACGACGAGGGTATGAGTTGTGTGAACAGCCAAGCCAGCCACGCCTAGAGAAGAAGAAGACTGACGATGAGATACTCTTTCTGTTCATAGAACTGATTGGAGATCCTAAGCGCGTCTTCGAGGAAGGTAGAGACGAGCAAGAACCTAGCGAGTTTATTGAGATGAGGCTTGACGGGTCTGGAGAGGTTTTCGATGAGGGCCTCGATGGGGGCGGAGTATTTGCGGAGCAGCTGAGTGGCTCGAGTCAGCCGACTTTCGCCCTGATCATCAAACGGGGGCCGGCTTGGGCCTGTGGATGGCAACGGTCCTCCTGCATTACTGTGGTCTGTTTTCGTTGTAAATATTTGTAATGTTGTATGCAACGTGTTAGCTCGGCTATCGGCTGATGGTGTGACGTGGGAGAGTCGGGCCGACAGGTGGATGTATGCGTGGTAATTAGTGGATGTTCATCGTGCTTACATGGGTTATTATGATCGAGGTCCTTTAATGGCACCGGAGTATAGGTCGACATCCTCTTCGTCTTCTCTCTCCTACAACTCGTTTTCTTATAGATCTGCTTGAATTGCTTGTTTTTTTTTTTTTGGTTAGGTAGCTGGAAGTGAGAAGTATTCAAAGCGGATGGTTTTGTTTTGTTTTTTTGGTTTGGGTTGGGAGATGGAGACGGGGAGGTTATGTATAAGTTCTCTTTAGGGGGTCGTGGCTGGTTGGGACAAGTTCCTTGCAAAACTTCTTTCAACCAAAAAAAAAAAAAAAAATGAAACAACAACAACAACGACAAGGGCTGTATGTATGGCCACCATGTACAGACACAATTTACAAAGTTTTCAGTTGTTCGGTGCGAGACAAAAGGACACGATCTCCTTGAAGACGATGAAACAGTGTTCATGGAGACAAACAATGCTATTATCCTCTATTATCTCCACCAGCGACGACGTGGATCAGAACTCCCGTCGACCGAGAACAGTCCAGACGAGGAAGAAGTACCTCCTCAAGAGTCCAGCTGCGAGAAGCAAACTTAACTAAGCCCCAACAATGATTGATGGGGGCGCCGGACTGTTAGCTAAAGTTATGTAGCAGTCGACTGCGGATGCACATCAAACCTTAAGTTTGTCTCTCAGCTCCGATAAACCTCCGGCGATTGATGCGAAGGATCATCCAGTGGAGTACATACATACATATGGACGAACAACTCAAACAGCTGAGCGCAACCATCATCACTCATGCCGATCGATTCTTCCTCCAACAAGATCGGTAAAGCCGTGTTTCATTTCTTTTTCTGGTCTCTTGGATATGTATAAAGGAGAAAGAAGAGACACTGAAGTTGGGATGTATTACTTAATGTGCAGTGAGGCGGAGGAGGAGGAGGGGAAAGAGAAAGAGAACAAGAACAAGAGCCAGAGATATCTGGTCGCCATTGCCGGCCGTCCGGGCTCAGGAAAGACGACGATAGCTCGCAAGTTGTGTCGCTTAATCAACCAACACTACGTCCATCAACGACGAGGACCGTCCGAGGGGGAGGAGAAAAGGGAAGAGCGGCCGATGGACAGTAATGATGACGTAGGAACAGTCGACCAGTCCACTCATCATCACGAGGACCATGGGATCGCAACTGTCATAAGCTTGGATGGATGGTCAGCGCTGCATACACACTCCTTCTCCTTCTCCTTCAACACACTCATGATCGCTGTTCTTTTCTTTTCTTTTCAGGCATTACCCGTCAGCATTTTTGTCTGCTTGATCAAGCAAATTCATTGCCATCCGATATTCCGATCCACACACACATGCTAATATGAATGTCTTGTGTTGTTAGTCGCTCGGTGCTTGATCAGTTCGAAGTAAGCAATCCCATCTGTCTGCTCAGATAAACTTGTTACACAAAAACGCTGCACCCAAACTGTTCAGTGGATTAGATCAAGACAGTGAGTAGTTAGACGCAAGAAAGCTGACTTGACGATGATGGATAACATATGAGGGTTAGGATCCAGCGGAAGCGCATCGAAGACGGGGGTCAGTGGAGACGTTTGATGGGCGCTCGTACCGGGAATTTGTAGAAGAACTAGTGACGAGTGGGGGCCGATCGGAGCTACGAGCGCCGGGGTTTTCGCACACGAAGAAGGACCCGATAGCGGGTGCGATTGGGATCTATCCATGGCACCGGATCGTCCTGCTCGAGGGGCTGTACACCCTGCTCGAGACGCCCCCCGATTGGCGGGTCGCAAGCGCGCTCATCCATCTCCCCATCCGCATCGATGTCGCACCTTCCGTCGCTAAAAACCGCCTCGTCCGGCGCCATCTCCTCTCCGGAATCGCCGCTGACCCAGAGCTGGCCGCGCAACGTGGTACGACCTATCCCCCCTCTCCATCTTTTTCCTTGGTCCCTGCTGACCTCGCTTTTACCCACATCGGACCCGTGTCTTAGTCGACTCTAATGACCTTCCTAACGGCGAATACTTGCTCAATCATTCCCGCGAACCTGCGATCGTGATCTCCAGTGTGGAAGACCCGACATTGACAAACACTCATGAAACCCCGTGATCATCTCTCATCATCCATCTTTGTACCATTACCATCATCATCGTCGTCGTCATCGTCTTGTTGTTGTTGTTGTATTCTTCCTGATCTGTTGTCGCTCAAAACAACTCAATCCTATGTAAAAAAAAGCTTGCTTATCTTTTTTTCTTCTTGACATCGTGGTGGAATACTGCTATTTACATGCCTTTCTTGAGCGGTTGTTTCGAACGACTGTGTGTGTCGTTATTTCCTTCCACAGTTCTCTCCGAACTAAGGAAGGCGCTTGGGCCGCCCGGGTTCGGGCCAGGCTCAGCTCAGTGGAGATTGCTTGATCTAGGCCCGCCCCGAGTTGCCCCCAATAATTTGGACCTCTACGTAGTCGGGTGACGGGTCTTGGCCAGCCGCCCGTTGGGCTCGTGCTGATATGTGCCAATCCCGGCGCCCGGTCAAGTCCGATAAGGACCTATCCCGATCCGCTGGTGATAGTGACTGAGTTGTGTTAGCAGTTCAAGGTCAATCTCTCTCTTGCCTGTTAAAACCCCACAGGCAGCCCGTGGACCGTCTTGAGTTTTGTGGCCCGCGGGCGGCCCGAGGGCTAATCGGGTGTGGGCCAGGCTGCATACACTTTCTCAATCATACCCTGTCTGACCCACCCATGTGTCATTGTGCCAGACCAGCTTGGGCTGGCCCATGGGTGGCCCAAGCCCACCTGATTACCATCCTTACTCTCAACCAGCCAAGAAGAAGAAACAAACAAAACCCCACTGAGCTTTCACAAGAGTTTATACCCACTCAGAGGGGCGTGTTGTATTGTCAAACAAACAAAAAAAGACAGATTTAGGGTTGATACCATATGGGATGACCATTTGATTTCTAAGAATTTATGTTCCTCAAACTTTCATATCATTTAATCCAACAATCACACATAGTCAGTTCATAGTCTATGAGAGACATGAAGAATTTTTAATACCAATGACCATGGATCTCTTGCACATTGATTGAATTGTTGTGCATGAGACACAATCTCTTTGTCATTCCCTCAACATCCTTCATCACCCTCACTGGTTCAACCCATCCCAATTTTTCTTTCTTTTTTGGACATTTCTGGGTCTGTCTTTGGATTTCAGATGGTGTTGGGCTGGCTTATTGGGATTGATGATTAAAAAAATCATGGGGTTTTTTTGTGTGCTATAGTCTATCCCATCCTTAGAGACATTGAGTACACAACTAACTGAGCTTCCTTCCAATCTTTGTTTCACTCCTTCTCCTCAGTTACACTAGTGTGTGACCAAATGGAGATGTTCTCTTAGACTTGAGTTAGGCATGGTTGATACTGGCCTGTTGGTTCTCTAATTTTTTTTTCTTGTCTTACCAAGAAAAGGAAATTTTACAGCTCAAGGAGGTCTGTTTCTGGAATATGTAAGTCTGCTGTGACTTCCCCTGGATGTTTCCATGTTTCTTTGCAGGAAGATTCCTCTGACTCAACATAAAAAGATATTGTGTTGTCATTTTTTAAAGCCATAAATAAGGGCCTGGTCAACAGACAGACAGAGATCATGATCTTTATTTACCTTTTGGAAACCACAAAGACCTGTCTATAGACAGTAAGGCCTTTCTAATGTGATATGAACCTGGGGTTCCGATAAAGTACTCCATATTTTTGGAGGGAAGCTCTGTGCACTCCAAATAATCTGAAGTGAGCAGGATTTGCACCCTTACTAGAAATACCTGGGAAGTAAAAACACTGGAGTGTGTGGGTATGCACACCAAGATTTATAGGAGTGCAAAGCTGTGCACTCCAGATTCTTTGGAGTGCAAAGCCGTTTACTCCAAAATAATCAAGTTTTGTCCACTAATTTGGTGTGCACTCCAAGAAACTCTGGAGTGCACACCTTCTTTGTGTGTGCACCTAGGGGAAATCGTTGGTGTGCAAAGAGGCAGGACCTTTGCTTTCCTGTTTTTTTTTACCCTCTTCAAAAGAAAAACAAAATAAACTTTGCTTTGGATGGAACAAGGCTGCTATCTAGAGATAAGCCTATTTGCAATCAACCCATTTTTCTGGATAATAACATGTGTAAACCTTTGCAAATGGTTAGATTATGTATGTATGTAGATACATACTTTGGTGAAGGGCAAGATCCAAAAATAAGTCTCTTCACTTGTCAAATACTCACACATTTCTGAAATAAATTTAATCAATGAACTAGAGTATCATGTGCTAAATTTTAGATATGTATGCACAAGTGGGAAGTCTGTCAGCCTCTGGGTAACTAACCTGAGTGTTTTATTGATAATGGTTCTTAATATGAGCTGACTGAGTGTTTTTGAGTGTGGTGAGTGGTAGGTTGTGGGTGTTAATACCAGTCCTGTAATGAGGAGGTTTCACTCTATTAGTATGGTCTTTACTGAGAGGCTTGCTATCAACAGCGCATCCGGATCAATACTTGGTATTAATAGGCATCCAGGGTACTAGGACTCACCTGGGATTAGTTGGTTACCAAAAGGGAAAGGGCTAACAATACTTATTAAGCTTTAACAAAATTAGTTGAAGACTAATAGGTATTGCTGATGGGAATATTCAGCAAGGCTATGAATATTGTGCATAAGTTGAGTAAGTTACTGAAGCTTAAGAGCAATAAATATAGACTAGATTTATGTTGGTTACGTCTACTGTATCAATATTAATGTTAACTGGTTTTAACTGGTGTCTGAATATTCTGGGGATTAATCAGTTGGAGTGGCACGGATTATAAGTTCCAGAATATTGTAGGGGAAAAGAAGAAGAGCTCTGAATCATGGGTAGGTAAAGGTACCAGTGGAAAGAGCAAGGTTAATTGTGTAACTGATCTTGATTTGCAATGATCTGTTAGTGCTGTCATAGTATTTACTAGTGGATCAATTACTAGTACCTGTGACGTGAGTGAACTAACAGATCCTTAAAAATAAAATAACAAATAAGGATCAGTGCGTGTGTTGATTGTATTAATTCAATTGGTAAACAATAAATTACAAACAATACATGTACACCTTTATTTGTAATGATTCTTGTCTGTGATGACTTTGAGGACAAGGATAATTAATAATGAATTCATTATTAAGATGACCCAATAAATAATGAAGTCATTATTAAGAACAGTACAAGCATTGATGGTATTGATTATTTGATAAATTAATTCAATACTTGTACATATCTATTTGTAATAATATTTGACCTCAAAAATACTGTAGAACATCAGGATGTAAACGGGTCGGGTTCGGGCCCAAAAACAGTGCCCGAACCCGACCCGACACTTATGTTGGGTTGGGTTGGGTCGGGTCAAACTCGAATATATGCTGCCCAGACCCAAACCCGTCTTGGGACTTTTCGGGTTCGGGTTGGCAGTTTGCATGTCGGGTTTGGGCCGACCCGAGTATTTTAGCCTTTGTAGAGCAACTATGACAAAAACTTACCTGCCCGACTATCAAAACACCTGCCCGAACCCGACCCGCTAAGCTTCCGGGTCGGGTTCGGGTCATGTGATTTTCTCACAAAGTCTGCCCAAACCCAACCCATGACCCGTCGGGTCTCGGGTCGGCTTCGGGTCGACCCGACCCATTTACACCCTGAGTAGAACATGAACAACTTGTGGTACAGGTATTTCACGGGTAAAGGAGTGAAAGGTGAGTGATAATTACTTATGTATTTAATTGATAAGTAATTACAAGATATGATGATATTTAAGTTCATATGTAATCAATGATAATAAGATAGCTATTAATGAAATAAGATAAGATAAAATAAGATAAAGGTAATAATAAGATAACAAGAGGTAAAGGTAAACAACATTATGGATAAGTACTTATGTACATAAGTACAGGTTTTGCAGTTACTTGGTACATGAAAGGTACTGTGACATGTACTCTGTGGCTGACAAAGTCTGTCATGTCTTTCTAACTGTTTAAATTGATTGCCTTCCATCATCCTGACATTGGATGTAGTGAAGCATTTTGCTGGAATGGCCTGTAAAGAATTGTTATTTTGGGGTCTGCACACCAGAAATTATTGTTTTATTATGGCCACATTGATTTCAAAACTTCTCAATTGATTCTATGTGGAATCCCAGCAGATAATTACCAATACACAAGTCATTCCAAGTAGTATTTGGGCTGTGAATTCTATGGGCTTGTACCATGGTATCCTTGCAAAAAAAAACATTTTTCTGTATTTCTCAGAAGAAATAATAAATAAACAAGTGGTCACTTCAAGAAATTGGCATGCAGCTGTATGCAGCTTACATGCAATTTTACAAATGCACCTTTGTAATAGGGTCTTAGTTAAACGACTCCCAAATATTGGAGTTCCGACTCCCAAATATTTGGGACGTCGCTAAGACCCCCTGCGGACGGTCCGCAGGCCGTCCACCCCCGGAGATGGGAGTCGGACCTCCCAAACCTTCAACAGGTTTGGGAGTCGATCATCCCAAGAAAAAATAAAAATAAAAAGATAAAAAAATGGAAAACCCCGGGGGTTTTTGGGAGTTGATCTTCAAAAACCCCCAGGGAGGTTGCGAGTCGGCGCCGGACTCTCAGCGGCGGAGAGGAATCCCTCTCCGCCTTTGAGAGTGTATACTCTCACCGGCCGAGAGGGATTCCTCCCGGCCGCTGAGAGTGTATACTCTCACCGGCCGAGAGGAATCCCTCTCGGTCAATGAGAGTGTACACTCTCATCGACCGAGAGGGATTCCTCTCGGCCGGTGAGAGT